GCTTCTTCTTTGTTGAAAACTGCTCAAACTGGAGGCCAAAAATAAGAGGATACACATTTACTTTTTTCTTTTTGCAACTATTTTCCTTTTGACCTGCTCGTCTCTTCTGGGACTATTCAGGCTGGAGAGACTAAAAGTAACAGTAGTGGCGAATGACACGTGCCACTCATTTTTTCCTTCAGTCCTGAATGAGGCAAAGAAACTTGAGTGCAGTCTTTACATTTTATTTAGAATCAGTGTTACTGTAGTTGCCCACCTGTATAGGTAAAGGTCCCATATGGTCCTGGGGGATATAGTTTAATGTGGAGTTTTTCTTGTCTACAATAAGCAAAGCTCTGGGTTTGATCTGTAGCACCCCCCCCCCCAAATAAATGTTTCCACAGAAATACTCAGGATATTCCCAGACTATAGCCACAGGGAATTCAGTTCAGTTCACTCCTCTGATTCCTTCCCCAGATAAAGGTGGTGAGCACTAAGCTAAGATCCTCAAATCCTAGAATTTTTGTGTGTCACATCTCTGACTTACACCATAGCTCACAAGACCTGGACTTTCCTCCTCTCCAAGTGTACTCACTCTCTAAGGCCTAGTATTGTGACTATCTTATCTACGATGGTGCTCCAAGCCATTCCATACACCAGCCTCCCAATACACACCATGGTTCAGAAGTGACACTGAGAACTCTTGTCTGCTTTAGGTTATTAGCTCCATGATACAAGTAATCTAGATTCTTATTTTTTGTGACCTCCTAAAACATGTGGAATTAGGTTGATTTCTGGACACTGCATACTTTTTAAAGCCCACTGGACTCTAAAGTTGCATTTAAAAATGAAGTAAAAGTCCAAGGTATGTAATGAGATGGCAGCGGAGTCTATTCCTGATGTCATCAACTTATTTGATTTTCCAGGATTAATTTTAGCCTCGAAATTCTACTCAGATTATTCTGAATATCTCACTGTCCCACCCTAAAAATTCTAACCTCTGTTCTGAAATATAGCTACTATTATCAATAGAAGCATCCTGTTTGTTCAGTAGCTTATTGCTTAACATACGTGTCAAGTGAAAATAACAACAATCATAAGGATTGATAAAACACCAACAGTCCGACTCTGCATGATATACTTTGTGTAGTAGTTTTCTGGTTGACATGACAGAAATATCTGACAAAGTAATATAGAGAGGGTGAGCAGCTCAGAGCTCCAGTGTACATCATGGTGGGGGAAGGAATGTCAGCGAGAGAATGAGGCAGCTGGTCACAGTGCATCCACATTCGGAAAGTGGGGGAAAATGACTGCTTGTGTTCACCTTTTTATTCATCCCAGAACTCCAGCTGATGGAAAGATCCAGCACACACCTAGGATGTGTCCTTCTAAACCAGTTAATCTAGAAAACTCCCCGATGGACATGACTGAAGACTATTTTCATAAATGTCTTCAAGTCTTTCCTGATATTGGAAAAGGCCTGGAAACTTGAAGCAATGGGTGATGGTGTAGATAACACAAGCCCGGTTCAGGCCCACACTATGAGGAACTGATGGCTTCTGCTTTATTTCCATTAAAAAAATTGTCTGAGATCCCGGAGAGTTGCCACTCTGCTAAAGAAACCAACAAGGGAAATTCTTGGTACCCCATGGAGAGACACATCTACATGACTATCTGACTTTGTAAATTATGATTTCTAATGACAAAGTTGTTTTTTAGTTGTCGAGTTAGGGGAAAGATTTTGCTTTCAGCAATAATAATTTAAATGTCCTGTGATCTACCCAGGATCCCTTAGGTAGTGTGCGAATGGACTGGACATTAAGTCCAGGCTATCACTACATTATGGTTGTGCCAGTGGAAGAATGTCTACACACCCTGAGTATTGTAGAAGTAGAGCATATTTGCGGCATCGTACTTCTGCATACTATGTGGTTACAAGACAGGCTTTATTTGCTATCTTGTAAGACTTACTCAGTGCCTGCTGCATATTTAGTAAATACAAGACTTTTATTGAAGATTATTATCTGCCCACCTGGCTTCTTAATGTGCACTTTAGCTGACTTTTTCCCCCTCTAAGTTGAGGGGAGCATCTTGAAGTATTCTATTTTAATATCAGGGCAAGATCCCCTGCTTGGGCACAATAGCTGTGAGTAATTTCACACAGCCCATGCCATTCACAGGCAGGTCTCTACCCCTATCCGTAACAGACTGATCTATCGCAGAGATCAAAGCACCAATTACTTCCAAAAGACTGGAGCATTGGAGAGCTGTATCAACTCAAAGACGATTTGTTCACATTCATCCACCGCTAAGAGGGGCAGTAAAAGCACTTTCCAGTTTCCCTTTGATCTGCTGTGAACACTAGCCAAGGTCCATCAGAGATGAACTCGTCAAATGAGTTTTTCTCGGCTTATGCTTTAGAAAGGAATCAGGGAATTTTTTTTTTTGAATAGTGACATTTTTAGGCTTGTAGTCACACATGCTTAATTGTTTTTTCTCCTAGAAGAGTCTCATTTTAGGACAAGATGCTTTAATGATGATATCAAAGTGAAAAGCAAAGAACGGAACAGCGCTTGTAAAATGGTCTGCATGTGGTTTTTTTTTTTTTTTTTTTTTATTCCAAGACGAAAACTGAATGATGGACTGGTGGATGTGAAACTTAATCTTTCCTATTTTCTTCTTTGAAGTACCTCTCAGAGATCAAAGCTTCATGGGTCCTCTTTATCTAAGGAAATTGGAGGGGTCTTACACTGGATGCATTTGAAGCTGCTGGGTCTGATGGTCTTCACTATGTCGGGCATCTAAGACTTGTCCTAAATCTTTGAGTAGATTTGATGCACTCTGTAGACTATACTTAGGCTAAACTAAGTTTAGCTATGAAGTTTGTGAGCTTTCATAAAGTATGAGGCAAGACTCTTGTGCTAGCTGGTGAGAACAAAGGCATCTAAAATTTTCCATTCCACATCTTTTTAAGTTCCTCTTTACAAAATCCTGGGGCTTCTGGATCCTTTGGCCTAAGTCTAATCAATTTGGCAAAGCTGCTGCCTTTCCTCCAGGAGTACATATTTACAAACTCGTAAAAACAAAGAGTGTCAACAGATTTATAACCCATCTTTATAGCCTTAGTGGAGGGAGAGAGGAAAAGCATGTAAAGATGTAATCCAATTTTCGCCAGTCTCTGAAAGAAGAGCAGCTCACCAGAGGAAAGCTATTGGAAAGGGCACTCTCCAGAGCTTACTTCCTCCGAAAGACATCCCAGTCTTAAAGGTAAATCACTAGCGTGCCTTACGCACCTTAAAATCCACTCCCGTCCAGAAGCCCTGATTCTCTTAGGTTGTAGAAAGAGTCTAGAAACTCAAACAATCTGCCCAATTTGTGTATTTACTGTGAGAAGGGAAAAAACCAATGGCTGAAGATTACCACATATTGAGGCAATTCACAGAATCCCTGTGTAGCCTTAAATCCACTTGTGGTCAGTAGAAATCTGGCCCTAAAACGGACTGCAGAATCAACCTTTCCTATAGAGAAAAAGCCATTTGCTCTTCGGCTTCCCACAGAGCTAGGAGAATATACTCTGACAGAAACACACCAGATCTGCCAAGACCTGTGCAAACAGAACTATCCTTTTACCAACAGTAAAGAGATCCGTGTTTGAACTATAGAGAGTCATAATAGAAATATATATTGCCTTTTATCTTCTTCCCAGTGATTGGATTGAGGTGTCAGGAGCTATTGCTGCAATATCAGTGAAGAAGTACTATTTTTCTCTTTCGGGTATGTGCGTAGGTATGCATGGAATAGCACCCATGATTATAGGACTGCTCTGCCAGCCAGGTTCTCAGCAGCCTTTGGAAAACACATAAAATGGGCTGAGAGAATCACCAGAACACACGGCTTCAAATTGTTCTTAGGGGCCACGAAAGAAGCTGTCTGTGGTTTTCGTTCAAGTGTGAAGAGAAAGAATAAAGAAAGCCAACATGCCTCCACACAGCTAAGTCACATAGCATAATTTGAAAGATACAAAAAACACATAAATGAGTTTTAATTCATGATTCACTATATGTTTACAGTGCCCACTGGAATGGATAGAAAAGTGATTTTGGAGACTACTGTGCTCCTGAATCGTGTGTGAAAACTGAGAAGCAAAAGAGAGAAGTATGCATCTACTGATTTTACAAATAACCGACCAGGGTAATGTGATTTCCACAAACATTGGGTTGCTTTCTTTGATGCCAAAGCATTTAAGGTTAATAACTCAATTAACCTCCTACCCACCTACTAACTAGATTTATGAACTGCCAAGGGAGTTAGCTAAGTATTAAGCTTTAGCTTGTATATAATTTCTTTCAAGTAAACAAAAAAAAACCTTAGCACAAAATTAAGAACTTTCTGCCTAGCTGAAATCAATCCTTTTCACTTTGTAATATAATCAGTATATTAGTCAAATAAAGTAAACAAAATTGACCCAAAATATCAAGCCATTAATTAGGACTTAATGTCAAACACAAAGACTATTATTCACAAGAAGTGGTTGAGCTTCTTGTTTTAATTGTCCTTGATTTAATGATAGCCATTGACCTTAATAATAAGCACTTTGAATTCTACCAAATATACCAGGAGGATATAAATAGAATTCAACCAGGGTACAGACTTGCTTATGGTAACACACCTTTCTTCATCCCTTCCCACTTTCTGCTATTTGAAAAGAAAATCTAATACAATGAGAGGAGAAGAATGTTTTGTAACACAAGTGTAATCTGTTCATTTTGAATAATAGCTTTTCCATTTCAGTGACAAATGAAAGGGATAATACACATTATCTCATGAATGCCACAGAACTTCTCTAATTCTCTCAATCATTGCTTACTCTTCTCCAGTCTTAGGTCTCATTACCATGAATATCTTCATCCTTCCTTCACACACAGTAATACAAAGTCCTTAACTACCAAGAGTATGGACCACAGCAATACTGCTGCAAAGTCAAGAACGAAGAACAATATCATAACAAAAGAAAGGCTTACCTGAATGCTGGCTGTAGAGCGATTCTTGCGGGTGGTGGTTGTAGCCATAGTGGTGGTGGTTTCCATGACAGTGGTAGACATTTCCGGGGGCATGGAGGTCGTCTGTGTTGTTCCCGAGACTGATGGGACTTCTCCCACTAGCCGAACACTTCCATTGATTCTAATATTAGGGTTGTTCTCAGCGGCCATGTTCAGTACTTTCAAACCATCATAATAGAGCCCAGAGAGTTGGCCTTGGAAGAGGCGTCCTTTGTCCTTCCCTCCAATGGCTATTTGAGCCTGGGTGTTGAAGATGGTTAACTGCCGGCCTAGTGAATTAGGTGGAGGAAATACTATTATTCCCATACATTTCTGCTCCTTGTCTTACCTAGTCTGTATGGAGCAGGCATCTAATAGGCTTCCTTGAACAACTGAAGTAGATAAAATTTACAGGAAAAATTCATTACTGAGATCGGTGAGTAACATTTCACGATGATTATCTCTTCCACTGTCTAGATAAACATCCTAAGTTACCAGAATAACTGAGGATTTGCCCCATTACAAGGAGGAAGACCTCTTGGTTAAAACATGAGCAGTGTTACAGTCTCCTGAGACATATAATCTAGGATGGCAGAAACATCCAGCTCAGATCATGACCAGAATGAATCACAGATGCCTAGTGCTCTGATTTTAAGCTACAGGGTAACATAATGACAACAGAAAAGAATGATATGCAGCAAACAAAACCTCAAAGAGGTGATTTAGAGCACTGAGTTTAAAAATTAGGTTCAGTAATTAAATGAAATTTACTGGAATTAAACTGCAATTAAGAGGATCGGATTCATTGCATGCTTATAAAAATGGACACTCTAGTCACCAGGAACAGAGTTTTCCATAAATCTTCACCTTGAGTAAAATTGTATCAGCATTTGTTATTTTAACAACATCATGATAGATGTATAATTTGGAGGGAGGTTTGATCAGTCAATAGATCATTCTCTAAGATGGGAGAGTAATTAGGCATTGAAAAAGCTTCTAGAATAGAAATGGAGGTGGGGATGAGGTGATTCTAAAATAGTTTTAAGAAGATATGGTGAGGGTAATAAAAATATATTATGTACATGCATAAAATTATCAAAAAATAAAATTAATCAATAAAAATGAATTATCAAAGAAAGATGGGTACAAAGAAGATAACTTATAAACTTCCTTGAATGATTTAGAGACATGGCAATGGATTGCAAAATAGCAATAGTTAATCTTATTTCAGGTTTTCTGTGGGTACCAGTTTTACTTCTGTGGCAAAATAAAAAAAACTCAAAAAAAAAATTCATGGCAGAGCAGTTTAGAATGGAGCATTCAACAAGCTAGGCTTATTTTCAAAGATTTCTACTTATTTTCTAAGTCAAACTGGGTCTTTTTCATGGAAACAAACAGCTTTTCAAGCCTCATTGTAATTTATCATGACAGCAACATGCTAAGGCTTGTTATTCCTTCATGTTATCTCTTTAGATTAATTCCATTTGCTTACCCACATGGAGTAGAGATGGGAAAACCGTAAAGTTAGATACATCCATTCTGGAGTTTTCTTTAGTCAGCGATCTACAAATCTAGTAATTCTTCATCTTATCACCTAGATTATTTTATCTGTAAATAACTGAAAACAATTGTCTGCTACTTATGCCTGCTTGGTAAAATCCGTATGCTCTCCACCTTCAAACTCTAAATAGAGGTATGTTGCAGGGTTTGGGTTCTCAGCATTTATCACTAAGATATTAAGCTCAGGTTTGCACAATGCACAACTAGCCTGAATTTCTGGAACAGAAGGTGGGTATACCTTCTTGATGTATACTACTGGAAGGTCTGGAAATAAGAGAAAAGGAAACTGCTATTTCCAGAGCAGACTCTTCAGACAAGTGTCAGCTTTACTATCTGGTCAATACTTACGGGTTATTAATTGAACGATTTATAAATAATACTACTCTGCTTTTAGACTGGGGAACTTTAGTAGGGTAGAAATAATATACACTTCATAAGAATCTTGGAACCATTCAAAAGAATCTCATACTTTAATGATAACAAAATTCCCTAGGTCCCAGGGATGTAATCAGTTCATTCCATACTTTCCCAAAAATCCCTTCCATGAGTTGGTGCCATTTGACAGTTGTATAATTTTTGTCTCTGTTCCCTTCACATGAGGTGTAACATGTTCAGTGCACAATGGTGCAAGATAATGGGCTGGAGTTCACACTTCTTTCTTTGCGAGCCATACACTTACTATAATACAAATGGGATAATAAAGGCAGAGAATAATTTTTACTTAACTTCATATCAGCATGTGAAGCATCTTACCATACTGATTTAGAAGAAAGTGTATAGTGGGAGATTTCCAGGATATAACTTTAATATCTTAAACTAGATAGCCTCCATGCAAGGTATCTTTTATATATGAACAACTGCTTCCCATTTATGACATTATCTCTCTCTTTCTGTTTTACTTTCTCCCCATCTTCCTCCCTTTCTCTTTCTTATGTAGCCCAGCATTGATGATTAGTTAATGGCTGAATAACATTGATTATATATAGAAGATTTTATTCTAATATCCTTGCAATGCTTTATAACAATAACCTCTTATAATGGTCCTCATCTTACTTTCTTGGGAAGATTCATTTTGCCAGCACTTAAAAATAAAAAGACAGTCAGAGAAAATTGAAATTCAAACTGCAATGATGGATTGCCTTCATTCTGTTTTCTATAGTTCACTCCATAAAGTGGTCATTGCTTATTCAGGAATGACCGGAGAATGAGTAAAGGCAGGGCATGTTTGAGGCCATTAGACTGAGGAGTTGCTTTATTCTTGGTTATCATTGCTTTACTATAGAGACCCGGTCACTCACTTCACTGGTGGGTGAGACAGAGAAGGGGGCTATTCAAGTTTCAATTTCTCTTCATGCCATAGGAAGTGCGTTTGGGTTTCTGTTAGCTTATTTGCTTGATAGGCTAGATCTTTTTTCTTTTGTTTCACAACCTTCTCCTAGCCCTTTGCACTTTTCCTAGGTAGTTAAGGACAAAACTAGAAATCACTGTAGGAAGAGAGCACTCTGTCTCCTGCCATGTCTTTCTGCTACTACCTCATCTCTCTTTAGCTGCACAGGAGATCATGAATAAGGGGGAAACAGTTTCAGTACCTTCTCCTTATGGAAGATATACAGAACTGACAGGAGAAGTTTCTGTGGTTTTTTTCTTTTTCATTTGCCCAAGGGGCTTCAAAATCTATGCCTGAAATCATTCTCATTGTTGTTATTGATAATGTGTAATTTTTAGAATAAAAATATCATGATACATATGCATTTGAATAAATGTGTGTTATAAATATATACGCATATATTTTTGGAATCTGAGAGTTGTTCTACCAGCAATAACATGAAATTTGATAATAACACCAGTGCAGTATTCCTAGCCTGTAACTGTTTATTTCATTTTAGATGCACAACCTTTTGGAAGCCAATATTTGTTGTTTCATTTTAACACCAAGTTCACATAGGCTTAGATTAAATCTCTGCACGTCTCTAGTCAGTGTTGCACAAAGACTAATTAATTAAATCTCAGAATACCCTGGGGGAATAGGCAGTATTATTTCTCCTCTCCTCATATGGGAAATCTGAGACACAATGAGGTTAAGTGGATTGTTTAAGGTCAGAAAGTCAGTCAATAGCAGCCAGCCAGCAAACAGACTTGGGAATGCTGTGACCCAGCTCTCCTCCCCAATGACAGAAGTAACTCCAAAGAAATGCTCCATGTACTTCTAAATGCACCTGTCTAATCATCCTATTTATCTATTTGCCCTTTATCTATACTCATCTTCACAAACAAGGTAGTTCAGTGCAAATTTTTCATTCCATTTGAAAGTGAAGTTAGCTAGACAGAGGAAGAGGTAAAGAGAATAGATGCTACTCACTCAGATTACATAAAGAGCAATTTCAGGGAAAACAATAGGAAAAGATAATCTTGCAGTTTGCAATAAGTTGTCCAATAACATGATCGTACTATACTTATATATATATTGAATAAAGAAGCCAAGACACCCCCACCCTGACCACCCTTTCCCATCCCAGCATTCAATATGTGTACAAGATCTTCTATTTACACGGAAGCCAGCTGCTAATGAAGCTAGCAGAAGGAAAACTAAAAGCCTACTAACTGCTTTATAATGGGTTGTACAAATGAAAATGCCTGGCATGCTATTAAACTTAGACTTCAAAAGGCAATGGTATAAAATAAAATACTATTAACATAAAATTGAAAGAAACACAAAAAGTTCTCTCAGGCACATGAGACTCCGACATGCATCTAATTCTCTGTCTTAAAAGTGAGGCAGTTGTTGTCTTTAATGTTAAAGGGACTTTATGAGCTGTTGATTACAATCAAAATTATTTGCTTTTTAGAGTTATTCTTAATTTATTTTTAATTAGACCACATATGTTGAAAACAGGGCGTGCAGTTAGAATTTGGTAAGGATTTTCTATGTCTGAATGTTTTCACCCGGCTAAAAAATCACACACAAGTGTCTTTTGTCTTGGTGTTTGTATATTACGGAATAGCCCCAATTCCTCCTCGTATATAACTCAGTCAAATCTCTGCAAAATGTAAGGTGCTCTTTTAGATCTCGAGGCAAGAGCTAGCTTATGCTGTCTCAAGAAAGATCAGAACTTCTAACTTTCTTGGAGATAAGAAAATTGGCTTCATCGAAAGATAACTGGGTATCTCGTAAACAAAAGAAACCTCATAGAAAATTCTCCCAGGATTCCTAACTGCTGCCCTTGTTTGTTCATGGAGTGGTTGTTTCTGTCAGCAAATCAGAGCTTGCTGCATTGCTTTTCACGAGACTTTTCCCTTACCAACTCATTGCCTTAACAACTTACACTTGGTTGCATAAAACATCGTAGGAATGCACGAGGGTATCACACCACCAAAGTGGAAAACAAGTTTGTTTCGTTTTAGTCTCCTGCAGCAACTGGAATGGAATTAAGCTCTCCTAGAAACTTTCGCCTCTGATGGTTTGAGTTTAGAGGCAAAATCTGTTCTTTCTCAGCCTTTTCTTTGTTTAAAAACAAATGTTAACACATACTGCTTCCTGTATCACATCTGTTTTAAGCAGTTTAAGTTACAAGACTTGATTGAAGATTTTTTGGTTTGGTTTGTTTGTTTGGTTTTTTTTTTTTTTTTTTTTTTTTTTTTTTTTTTTTTTGGTTAACCACGCTATAGACAGTAAAGCCAAAACAGCCTCAAGATGTAAGTTTAATAGGTTCTTTTGAAAATTCTTTAGAAAGCTTTGGTGAGAGGTAATTTAAAACAAATTAACAAATAATGTCATGCAGTGGTTAAATTGCCATAATCCAGTTCTCTCTCTCTCTCTCTCTCTCTCCCTTTCTTTCAAGAGCTTTCTGGAATTTGTTGTCTGTGGCTGTCATGCGGGCAGCAGGCTAGATGTTAGTCCCTTTAACTGTGTTTTAATGGCGATGTATTATTGCATGATTTATCAACATATGGCAGGTGGAAGCTGACACAAATTATAATGAAAATTAAAACAGTCATTTATGCAGCAGGCGATTATCATTTAAGGAACATTTATTCTGCAGGCTTTAAAAACGAGGGTTTAGAATCAAATGATTTTAGAATGAAAGTTTTAACGACCGTTACCTTTTTCCTGCAGCCACTCCTCTACGGGCCGGTTATATTTGAAGGGGATTTTCTGTTTTACCATTTGGAGGCGTTCATTATCAGTGTTGCCTTTAAAGTTTAAAAAACAGCTTAAAGAACAATCTGAAAAGTCAATAGGTCATTAAAAAAAAACACATCCTAGGTGTTCAGTTTGTTTTATGAAGGTTTTTAGAGATAGATATCAATTTATCTTTAGTAGAGGTGGAGTTGAAGCCGCTCTGCCCTCGGAGGATGGGCCTGAGGTCAGATTGATCTCAGCTGTGCAGTGCTCCATCATGTTGTGGTCACGTGATTTGGGATAGAGCTCTGTAAGCGGTTGGGCTATTTACGGAAATCTCATTACAGTTCCACCCTCTCTCCTTCTTCTATCTACCACTGACTTGGTCCCAGTGAAATTCAATGATCTCATTGAGTTGAATAATTCTACTACCACTGCCATGTCAATTGCACAATGAAAAGGTAGCATCCAGCTCCTCGGTCACTGTTTTCCCAATGGGATCCATTTAGGAGCAAAGTGCCCTTCTGCTCCTCTCAAGCATCTGTACTTGCAAGCTCTGGATTCTAGAAAAAGGCACCGAGATAACGACTGAATCCCTGCTAGCCATGGGAGACTGGCCAAAAAACATTTTCAGGGTTTTGTACATTCTTTTGTTTGTCTGGTTGGTTTGGTTTTCTGAGATAAGGCTCTGTATTTCTGATTAGCGCTGACTTACGGTAGCTCCCCTGTTTCACCCCCTAGAGCTTGGATTAAAGGGAGATTTCTTACTCCAAAAGAAAACTCTGATATTACTGTACTTAGGTGAAACTGGCGGAGCCATACAGGTGGCACAGTAGACCTTCATCTTTTCTGTTGCGCATTTTAAGCAGATGGAATCCACAGAGAACATAACTTCAGGCAAAGGAAGTTATACTGCTATATAGCATTTACAGGGTTTTAGGCACTTACATTTTATTAGTGCTAGACCATGTTGGCGCAGCTGTTCATTCTCTTTCTCTCTTTTTCTGCCTTCCCCCCTCTTTCTATTCTGTGAAAGGGTCGTCTTGAACATGAATCTATTCAAAAAGCCTGTTAGGAATATTTCTACCAAGCATGAAATATCAAATTAGTTTCAGGCTCAAACATTGTGTTTAACTGATGGTGTGGCCCCTCTTCCTTTTGAAACTGCTATTACCACTCCTGGGCGGTTCTTCTAATTAGGCGATACTTGGAAAGTGGTGGTGTGGATTTACACCCCTAATGAATATGCTTCCGATAACAAAATAATGAAGGCATGTTTGGGGAACTGTTTTAGCTCATCAGCCAACCTCACATTGATTTAGTAAAAAACAGCACACTGTAATTCATCATGTTTGGTTCAGAGCTCCGTATTAAAATTTAGGGAACTCCATTCCAACTTACTAATATTTTAAAAGGGAAATAAAAATTTTGAAACAGGGGGCTTGGGAGGAAAGTACAGAGAAGCCTGGAAGCCAGAGCGAATATGAGCCTGTAGCATCGTATCAGGCCAAGTAAATAGAAGTGAGCCATGGCACTTCAATCACAGAGCCATTGCAATGGAGCAGTTATCACTGGCGGAGAAGATGTCTCATGTGACAATTAGGACCTGCTTGCTGGGCTTGGAGGGGGAAGATAAGAGAATCCAATAGAAACTGGGTAGTACTATCAGAGGCTGGTAGTTCCCCCTAGTCTTCTCTAATGAAGACATTATTCTAAACATTTGAATCTTCTTTCCTGTTCTGGAATTTAAACAAACAAACATGGCTCATGAGAAGCAACTATAGGTGTGCTTCTAGCCCACAATGTAGATTTCTATCTGCCTACATAAATTATAACATACCAACATATCAAAGGGCAGTTGTAGTTCATTGGAGGCTTTCTTGTTCAGCCACTCAAGACCTAAAGTTGTTGCTTGGGACTACCAAACAAACAAAAAGTTATTGGGGGATAATGTAGGTAAAGGGAGTTGAATAATCAGCAGTTTTGGATTTTCATGGATAATTTAAAGCTTTTCTCTAAGTGCAGCAGCTGTCCCAGTACGGCCATCGTGAAGGACACTGGCTTAACTGTACCATATAACTCCAATTATTGATTGTGATGATTGTTGTCCTTGGAGGACAAATGTTATTTTGTATTCTATTAGTCCAAAATACATTTAGTAGCTTCTCCAGTGTTTTCATAGAAAAGGGGTACTTTTCTGAAAAGAACCCACACATGTTACCCAGCAGGTAACAGCTAAGGTGTACACTGTAAGGTACCACAGCACAATGAAACGCCACAGTGAGGAATGACCATCAATTGTGCTGGGTTCACCTTTGATAAATTTTGCTGCTTTGAGATTTCTGCATTTATCACCAGTGTGGATTCTGTGACTAAACACAGTGCTGATTTTCACTCTCCTCCCTGGAATGAAATAGTAAAGTCAAAAAGAAATATAAAATGATAAATCTTACTAACCTGAAGGGCAACTGCAGAAATAACAACTAAAAGTTCCAAATTGTCAATCGTGTCTAGATACTAAGTTAATTAATTGACAGGCTATATTGATTTACTTTCTCTAAATAGGGTTCTTAGCTCTCCCAAAGAGCTCAGCATCCATGATTCATCCCCCTTTAACCATAAAGCAAGGTAGAAAATCAGGTAGGGACACAGTAAAGGCTGGAAAGAGAGGAAGCTCTGGGGTACCCAATGGAGAAAAGCACAGCTGGAATCAACCTAGGACCTCTCTGAAAGTATAAAGCGAGAGTCCGTTCTTCTCCACCTCAGCTTTAAAGACATTTAGAAGCATGTTTTAGGTCTTGCGTGCCAGACTGATACCATCTGGCCCCTAGGACAGTGATCTAGCACACTGTTAAAAGCTGTGAGAGATGGAAGGCCATTTGGAAAAGCACATCGATTTAAGTCACCACATTAACACAGTTCTTAGTCTTTTTTCATGTTCTTGTTGGCTTTTATTTTAATTTATCTAAAACACTAGTAAAATCTGTTTAAGAAACACATGCAAGTGAATGAGATCATATGCCCTAAACCCCAATTCCATAGATTGATGGGAGGGCAGATCTTTATATAAGAAGCCATACAGAGGACTATTCTGATAGCTGCACAAACCTCTTTAAATTCATATACATTGTTATTAAGTACACAACGATACTAAATTGTACATGTCATATAACAACTAGTATAGACACTTAAAGAGACGAATTGATTATTTAACAAAAATTATGTTATACTCAGGATAGAATGGCCTTATGAACAGTAATGTCCTTCAAATAAAACATATACATTACCAGTTTGACAGAAACATCAGTTATTTACCACATGGAGAAACCCATTAATTATATAAAGGGGTCTTAAAATAAATACTTAAGCTAATTATATGAATCTGACATCTACATAGAATGGAATTTCAGGAAAACAAATAGTCATGTTTTAGCCTACCTGAAATAGAATTTGCACACGTTTATTCTTTGTCACTCTTGACATGATATTGAGATTTTTATACAATGGGTTTCTGACAGTCACTAACACTAATATCAAGTAGTTCTACTTCTGGAGACATGTCCAAAATGCACTGTGAAATTATAACATTGTGGAGAGCCGAAGGCTCTGAGTCAAATCACTAAAGCCCAACTGGTTCATATACATAGCCCTGAGCATCAGCTAGAACTACCTCACAGTTCCCACTTTGGGATTAACCCTCTGAGGGTGAAAGGAATCAGAGTAAGGTAAAGTGAGGGAAACATGTTGGCTTTCCATTTGGTCCCCAGCTTGTATCAGTAACCCTTTAAGATGAGGACTTGAAATTTGCTAATCAACCCAATAAACAAACGTAAGATAAAATAAAAATAAAGATAAAAGTATCCTTCAACTGGATAATTGAATGAATACAAGAAGGAAATTCTTACATAGAACAGAAAGTAGTATGTCTAGCACTTTGGCCCAAACATGGGCTACTTTGTTAGGAGTCATGTAAATTTTTTAAAAAGCTCTAATCAATACAGTGTCAAAGTTTAAGCTATGGAATTTGATATATCTGTTTTAGAGTTGTATATTTACCATTTATTAGCTCTATGTCTTTGGGGAAGTCACTTATCATTAGATTCTTCTTGTGTCAGTTCACCATAGGATGTAACGCTGACTTACAGGGGGTAAAATATACATAATCACTGATATATAGAAAACACTAATTTCTTTGTGAGGATAATATTAATAAAACTTATTTCTCCTGTGATCCAAAGAAAGTACACTAGTTCTAGGATTTGTGCCCATGTTGTTCAAACTTTATCAGTTGTCATTCAAAAGATGACTATATCCAATTGGGACTCACAAAGAACAACTGATTATAAAACAAGTAAAAACATTGCAAATGTCCCTCTGAATCTCCAGCTCTTGATGTTTATATTTCTAAAATATATTCAGCTAACTCCATTTCCAAAGCAAAGTGGGTTTCTAAAACCACTGAAAGTAAAAGAGCAATTCAGGCACTGACAATTGGGATTTCTTGGCCCAGCCACAGGTAATGATGATATAATGCCACTGAGTTGAGGTGGAGTATCTTAAAGGTTCTGGCAATTTGCACCAGACTGGCATAAAGTGCTTTTCTGCAAGTAGACCATTAATACCATCTGAAGCGTTGTCAAGCATGTAGCCATACTGATAGGAATAACTGTAACAACATTCACCTGCATAAAATTAATGCCAGAGGTATTTTGGCATTTTGTTTTGAGCTCTGGAATAAGGAAAGGAAAGTTTTCTTTATTGCTCTGTCAACACTAAAGAAACGGGAGCACGAGCCTAATGAATAGTTGGGGACTGAGGATGTGGACTACAGCTGGTGGCAAAAGAAAATCGATGCTGGTAGCTTCCGTTGTAGGGCAGTTCACAGTTTCTAGCCATGCCCGTGTCCCCCAAGGAACACTTTGTGAGTTTCAAAGAAAATATAGAACACTGAAGAAAAAGCACCAGGGAACTCTCTGAGTGTGGCTCTGGCCACATTCCTGGAGCTTTCCCTAAACAGCTCTCTTAAGAGTCAAATGGGTAAGTGTACTGCCCAAAGGGCTTCTAAAATGTT